ATGCTTGCCATCTGACCATCAAGTTCTTAGGCCAAAATTTCACAAGACCTTGCATGAGAATCCTGAAGTCCCAATCCATGCAAGTCTAAAATCCCTCAGGGTTTTAGGTGATTTGAGAAAATGCCAAAACCTTACAAATTCTCACCTTCTTGTGGGATTTCGATCAGGGTCCAAGGAAGTCATCCTGGTGTCCATGGATGCTGTGTGGCCCTGAGAATGCAGCAACCAATTTTATCAGGACATTTCAATGCATCTCTTTATTTTGTGTGCATGTTTTATTTTTAAAACTGCTTATAGCAGACACTTGGCAGTTAACAATTATCAGGATTATGACAGATGGGAACAAGGAGTTAGGAAGGAAAACTAGGTTACTTTTTTCCCCAACTAATTTAACTTTAAAACGGAAGGTCATCATAGATTAGATTAGAATACACTAACGGCATCTGATGGCTTGTTGTCACTCTCATCTTCCTTGTATGGAAATTGTCTTACATTCAGGGTCAGGTAAATGCATTTGTATCAGGATTACACCTTGCTCTGTTCAAATGCAGTTTTTCAGGCAACTTTTTTGGGGGGGCAGTGGTTAAAGAAACAAAGTCACTCTGTTCCAATATTACATATTTCTTCCAAGGATGTTCACATGATGCATGTTCAACTGCACTTAGTTTTCCTTGACTGTTGCTCAGAAAAGAAATGTGTAGGCATCAACAGGTCATTAAGGCCACCTAGCCTATATTATCATAGGCCAATGCAGTTTTACTCAAATGTAATTGCACAGGATGAATCATTTCATTCAATGCTCAAAGCCACTGGAGCTCCATTAGAGGACCATTAAGACCTCACTGAAGGCAATAGGACTACTCTCAAAATCATTCCCGAGGAACTCTGTTTCAGGAATGCTGCTTTAGTACTTATGGGGCTGAAAGAAGAGAAAAAGATTTCCTGTTACCCCTCCTTTATTATGATGGCTATTATTATGAAGCACCAGCTGTGTCTCAGGAAGTTCACTTAATGTCATATTTAACTTTTTTTTTTTAACTCCTTTTTCCGTGAGAGTTGTAGCACTGTTGATTCGGAATTAAGGTTAGATTTAATTGTGACAATTACAGAAGAGTTGGGGGAGTGTGATATCTAACAAGTAGGATAAAACTGACTGGCTCGGAAGCTGACTTGCTCAAAATGATTGACAGGAAACAGAATAATTGTTTTATTTGAATTCAGTATTTATTTATTTATTCATTCATTCATTCCTGATATTTATTGTACTGTCTCAATCAAGGCAGTGTACAAAATCAAATGACAGTAAAGCAGCGTTTCTGCACTAATTCAATCCCCAAAGGCATTCTGGGAAATAACAAATGCCTTTAATGTGAGACACCCCCTCCCAATCTATTCCAGAGAAGGAAAATCCCCACACGCCTACCAGCATGTTTCTCCTATTGTCTCTTAGTAGAAGGAGACCCCCAACAGAGTCTCTAGGGACACCTAGATTGGTCAGGCAGAAATTTTTAATCTTCTGCCTGGAAGCTCCCATCCATTGGCAGCTGGAGGCCTGTTGCAGCACAAGTAGTTATGGAAAAAGTGGGATTTGGATCTTCCTGAGAAATTGGCCTCAAATATTAAGGGGAAGAAAAGAGGAACTATTTCTTTCTTTCTTTCTTTCTTTCTTTCTTTCTTTCTTTCTTTCTTTCTTTCTTTCTTTCTTTCTATCTATCTATCTATCTATCTATCTATCTATCTAT